CGTTTACTGTCACCGATAGCGAAACTTTTTCGATCGGTTCAAACAATGGTTCACTAGCTGAATGGTTAAACCGTTACTATAATATTTAATAAAATATTACTGCATTATTTATTTGGTACTTACTATATTATATATTAAAAATATAAACATCCATAATAAAATATAAAGAAAATAATTTTATCAAAAATATTTTAAAATTTTCATAAATAAAGGATTATACATTAAAAATACAGTCTCACATGAAAAACATTTTTATGTATTTATTTTTATAAATTTTTTTTGACCGTTATTTTATAAAAGTTAAAATGTCAAACATTATACAATTAATAGATATTAATAATTTTTCTTAACAATAAAAAAAAAATCAATGACTTCAATTGTGAAACTACTCTTTTTATTAGGAAGAAATGGAAAAAAAATTTTTACTGGTTACGGATTAAATACTAATGATGTCTTATTTAAATTCTTGAAATGACTAAACCCAATCTCTAATTGTTCATTTATTGTTCACTAATTTAAGTGCTAGTTTAATTTAGGTAAGACAACCTGAGTCCAAGACATTTTTATTAATGAAATTCATTTTAAAGGGCAAAACAAAACTATTTAAACTTTGTAGTCTGTACTTCTATGAGAACGTTAGCCTGTGGTGGATATAACTTTGGGATTAACTAAAAAACATTTTTTGTGAAATATTTCATTGCAATTTTAGTTGTGTTACTTTAATTTTTTAATTTATTAACTATAAATTTTTAAATATATATCGATAATAATTTTTTATTTATTTTTAGTAAATTTAGTTTTTTATCTAATAAAATAAAGATAAAATAATTTATTAATAAAATTTTATATTTTTTTCTTAATTAAGTATTATCTAAATAAAATTTTTTATTTAATATATATTGTAATTATTTTTTTAAAATAAAAATAAAATATGAATAAGTATATTAAATAATATCTTTAAAAAGTGAATGATTAAATTCAAATATTTTAAATAAAAAATCAAATCTATTAAAAATAAACAAAAAAAAGTAAAAAATCTTTTCATATATAATTTTGATTAAGTAATTTTTGAATATATTAAAACTATTTACATATTAATTAATTAAGAAAAGAGAAAAGGGTTTTGTGGGTTTGAACATGTCTACCTTCGCAGGAGGTTAGGATTCTAACTCAGGACTAGACCTGGCAAACGGGCGGGTTGGGTCGGGTTAGGGTCAGGTCATCTCGGGTGACGGGTTAGACGGGTTGGGTCATAAACGGGTTGCGGGTTGAAAACATCTAACCCTAACCCGACCCTAACGAGTTACGGGTTAACCCGCGGGTTAACCTTATTTCATTTTTTATAATTATTTTT